AATCTCGATTATCAAGTAATGTTTTCAATGGCTGTGGTACCGTTAAAGGCCCGGTCCCACTGCACTTACGGATGCAAAGAGGATGTAAAACGGGGGAAAAAAACATGCCCTCCGTTTGAAATTTCATCCGCGCCAAAACTTTTGAGCTGCACAAAACTTTTATAACGGATGAACTTTCATCCGTGTACGATGTAAATGCGCGACATATACGAGCACCAAACGTTCCATGTCCGTTATCATCCGTTAAACGTTCACTGTATCCTCTCTGCATCCTCGCAACTTACAACCGCTCCAGCTGAAAACGGAAAGAGAGAGGAAAGATAAGGTACATGGAACGACTATACATCGTTAGTAGCACGGAACTAGGAAGGATGTAAGCGTATGCATCTCGTATATAAAGTTTTCAAAACGGACAAAGCGTTTGTATCTGGGATGTATCTGGTATGTTGGAAGGATGTCTGGCGTTTGCCTAACCCGTTCGGAGCTGTCATCCACTTCCATCCGCTAGGCTTCCGATGAACATTCATTTAACATCCCCGCTACATACTTCCCACGTTCGTTCTTTTCCGTTCTGTTTTCGCAAATTTTCGTCAATTTTGTCCATTTCTGGAGCGGATGAAAACGGATTGAGCCACCCCCGAAAGTTTGCTCGTCCTCTGTGTCCTTTTTGCATACGTTTTGTGTCCATCGGCCACTGGGACCGGGCCTTAACGGATGAACTTTCTGCCGTGTACGATGTAAATGCGCGACATATACGAGCACCAAACGTTCCATGTCCGTTAAACGTCCACTGTATCCTCTCTGGGAATCCTCTGGGCATCCTCGCAACTCACATCCGCTCCAGCTGAAAACGGAAAGAGGGAGGAAAGATAAGGTACATGGAACGTCTATACATCGTTAGTAGCACGGAAATAGAAAGGATGTAAGCGTATGCATCTCGTATATAAAATTTTCAAAACGGACAAAGCGTTTGTATCTGGGATGTATATTGAAGGATGTCGGAGCTGTCATCCACTTCCATCCGCTTGGCTTCCGATGAACATCCCCGCTACATACTTCCCACGTTCGTTCTTTTCCGTTCTGTTTTGGAAAATTTTCGTCAATTTCTGGAGCGGATGAAAATGGATGGAGCCATCCCGGAAAGGTTGCTCGTCCGCTGTGTCCTTTTTGCATACGTTTTGTGTCCATCGGCCACTGGGACCGGGCTTTAACATATTCGGTTTGAGACGAGGTTGCAATTCAATTCGTATCACTTTTTTTACTACAAATTAAAAATAAGACTTTTAATATAGATAAGAAGCGTTTGAAAGGATTGGACCAATGAGGCATAATAATAATAGCCGACTGACTTTTTGTTAGCCTGCGTGTACTCTTGTACTGTAACTGGTAGGCCTAAGTAACTCCCGAAGCAGACAAATAGGAAACAGTGATCCAATGGGGCTGCAATTCAACTGGAGTGACGTTAGCTGCGATGTTTATCAATTTCCATAATTTTTCTGTAAACACAAGTAACAAAAGAGCGTATAGCCTAATACCGACATCCAAACTCTCATTTTAACCACAACTAAACATAATATCAAGGCCGGATATATATCGAACTTTCAATCAAATTGACTGACAGCTAGTCTCGCTCAACAGCGGCCTCGCTTCGTACACTCTTTCATTTAGCCTCGATCTAAAATTTCCGGGAGTATGACGTCAACGTAACGGTTAATCTCCGCTTACGACGCCATTTAAAAATTTAATCAATCAATGAAATCCAAGCCATCCGTGGGTCTACAGAGTTGATTTTGTGCTTTTTGTGTAAATAAAGATCGAATTTATAATTTCTATGACATCTGAAGCCTAAATAAAGACTTGTAATAATCAAATTTAGCTCTTGTATAATGTATGTTTAAGTGAAAGTGAGGACACTTGGTGTATAGTTTTATGAATGACATCAATAGTTTGACTAAGTTCGATAGTGAGCAATTTCTGCTCAGGGTAAGCTGAGCTATAAGCAATTTGATTGGTCGATATTTTGGAACACAATAACTCTCCTGGTAGAATCTTAAAACTTGGTGTAGGCGTACATTAGGTGAATGCCTTGATGGAGTTCGATGATAAACATTGTCTGCTTAACTTAAGCAGAGATAAGCAATCTGATTGGTTGATGCTTTGGGACACCATAACTTTGATTTTAATTAAGTGAGAGTGATGAAACTCCCGAGTATAGATTCATTATATCATTACCTCGACTAAGTTCGATGATGAGAATTTTCTGCTTGGGCTAAGGAGCGATAAGCAATTTGATTGGTCAAGACTTTGGAACATAAGTCTGCTTTTAAAGGGACAATAACACCCGTGCTGGCTTGAAAGCTCCAGAAAATAAATAATATCTATATCTAAGTACTAGATGTTTAAGTGTCCTACCTGTTGTGTAAATTATCCATTACATCCTATTTGACTTGTCCAGAGGGTTCGAAAATATTTTTAAATCGAAGTTTCATTTGAAAAGGTTTACGTTAGACGTTTCAAACCATTATGTTGAATTTTTCAAAATTTTTAAATAAGGTGTGTTAAGATGAAATTTGTATCATCAATTAATTGAAATATTCTAAAATAGTACAATTTGTTGACCAGAATAAAGATTGGGACATATTATTCAGTTACAACAAGAGTGGTATTGAGCCTTTAATTATGGTAGAATGTTTAAACGTGACAAATCGGCCCCGTTTGTCGCGACGCAGGAGCGCCATCACGTAGTGATCTCTAAAACTATTATGGCCACTTCCGCCTTCATTTCTATCGGGTTTGGAGCTCACAGTACGGCAATAAACTCACTCTAACTTGACTGAATGAAAAATCTAACATACCTTTCGACTTTGTGCAATAAAAATCTATAATTCTACTGATCTTTTTTTTTTAAAATCTTATCGGATTCCTGAGAACAGATCTAGGCCTATTTTCTTCATGATCACCATCAAAACATTGAAGAATCCATTATGTCGTAAATTTTATGTTAATTAGATTGCCATTACTTAGATTTTCCTTTTTCTCACTGTTTTATTGTCGATTTGGGATGATACGAATATTAAGTATATATTAAAGACGTCTCTACGCCAGTTGAGGACGTAGTAATAGTGTCTCGTAGGTAAACAAAGGCCAAGATAAACTATTAGTTTATATTATGAGAGAACATGTGTACATAAAATATGGCTGACCAACACGACGAGTAAACAGGAAAAGCGCCCTCGCAGAGAAGGGAAATAACTCGCAGAAAAGACAGTTCGATTACTCTCGATGAGAACAGTTCGGTTACGTCACGCACCAACTCGCACCGTTAGGGTACTAATTAATCTAAACTAAAACATATATTGGCGTGACCTCTTTTTTCTTTTCCTTATCTCCTAAGCGTAAATATAGAGAACATAATAATGTCAATTGAACACAGATTAAAAGTCTAATTCAAAGTCTGCCAGGTTCAGCAACAGATGTGGGCTCTGGGGGTTCTGTGTTCACTTGGTGGAGGAGATCAGACGACTGAGATGTGGTAAGAACCATAGGTATATCATACTGTACTGTATTCAAGTCAGGTGGCTCGGATTGATCATGACGTAAAGAATGAGATGACGTCTCCCTGGTAGTAGTGGTAGGTTCTATAGGGTGTTCTTCGTCGCTGGAGAGACATTCCTCAGCATCCCGATAAGGTACCGATTCCGAATAAACCTTATAACACTCTGACAACTTAACTCTGTAAGATGTTTTGCGTAATTGTCGACCACTAAATTTACAGACATTACACCATGTACCTTCGGTTTTGGTAACCAAATAACGTTGTCGGGCTTGTAATTTGTTGCCATCAGCATGAAGGTAAACTATATCACCAACACAGACAGGTGACGAACTGTGAATTTTGGCAGAAGGAGCCTTTGATTTTTCACTAAACTCGTGATTGCTATTGCGATTTGAATGCTGGTTTAAAATGAGTTCCCTGTCAACTACAGGTATTTGATCTGCAGAGAACTGGTCCCTTTGTGTCCACATTTCGCGAGCCGATAACCCACTTGATCGAATTCGAGTATTGAGTCTGGCAGTAGAGATAGCTAATGTTAGAGACGTGATAGGACCAGCGGTGGGCTGTTGTCTAAGAATTTCATTTTGCAACTCTTGAATGGCCTTTTCAGCAACCGGGTTTTTGTTAACATTTTTTACACGTCCTATTTTAACACGTAAACGATGGTACAGCAATAGTTGATCGTTCTGAAGTGCTTGAAATGCAGGAGCTGGGTCTGTTCGAATAATGGCAATGGGACCATAAAGTGGACAAAGTTCTACACAGAGTTTGATGAGAGCTTCCTTTACGGGTACTGCTGACTCGCTATTAATAAAACTGGAAACAGTGTAAGATGTGACGGTCTCTCGCAGCACGAGTATGAGTTGGAGCTCTCTCTTCATTATATCAGCCGCGAAAGATATACCAATAACTTCGGGAGGGTCAGATGTGGACTGTTCAATCAAAGTATGAGACTTTTTCTGTAAAGACGAGCATTGGTGACAGGACTCTGTAGTCTTGCTGACAAGTTTATCGAGATCCAAAGCAAAGAAGTGTCTCTTTACGGCGCGTGATAATTGGTGACTTGACGGATGATCAAGTGTGAGATGCAATGATGTCAATAAGCCATCAATGATTGAACGAGGAACAACTATACATTCCCTGGGAGGCTCGAGTGCTTCTGTGTGTTTGACTACAAGTAAACCATCCTTGGCAATAGTTATAGAATTTAGGTAACGCTTGACGTCCTTAATGTTAGTTAATTTCTTTGAAGGTCTCGTACCTTGTATGAGATGAGCATGGACACGTCTGAGGTCCTGACACTCGCCTTGGATTTCCTGCCACGCGGCCCTGTTCGTGTAGGGTAAAGTGGAATAATGGTCTGAGGTAGATGTCTTGCGAACTATGGTCTCGTGACACTTCCTTAGACATTTACTAACTAGGCCATCTCAAAATAACAACTATGAAAACATACATATAATTTTAATCAAATAATAATTCTTATATATACACAGTATACACAATTATAATATTTAATCAAATTTAATAAAAATAGAAAAATAAAATAAATATACAATTGTAGAATATATAATTCAATATTGTATGTTACACATAATTTGTAGACAGCATAGATCGTGTTTGGAATAAACACACAAAAACAGAAGTAGGAAGATATGTGTAAAAATGTTGATAATAGTGCCACATTCTGGTTGATCAAACCCACATCCCTGTTAAGTTGACCAAATACATTCGGTTAGACAGAAGAGAATGAATTGTGTATATGGTTGGTCATGTCTACCGTTAACACAATGACTGCGTGGCTTTTAGAATATTGCTTAATATTTGTCAAGATCAATGTTCGTCTAGCCACTTTTTGCAAAGCGTGTCCATTTTACGCGGGTCTATCAGGAATAGATGCACCGCCGCTAGAATTGGTGCATTCATTGAAGCGGTTCATTCATTGAAGTTCTGTGTAATATAATCGGAGAGTTTGGGAAGGAAAACCTTAAATTATCCATAAACTTAAAGATGCAGTATGCAAGAATTCAATGAAACGGTCGTTCGTTCTATACTAAAAAAAAAAGGTAGTGAAAAAGGAAGGTAATTGAAACAAAGTCATGCTTCACTTTTTCTTTTTTTACGTAAGAAACTTATAAAAATACCGTCCCTAGAAAATTCTCATGACCATTCTTACAAAAGCACAAGTCAAGTATAAGTCTAAGCACATTGTGACTGGTAAAGGTTACCATAAACTGAGACTACGATGCTCTTTAACGTCATAAAAACAACTTTGGTCTGCGAATTACGTCTCCATTTTCAGTCCACCACTCGGTAGTCTTGGTGCGTGGAGTCTGTATCAACGTTTAATGAAGATGTCTAGTCCATTCAATAACTTAGCCATCAGATAGTTGATTATTGACTAGCCATCTGAATAAATTTATATTTTATTTATTTACCATTTGAAACTAGAAAAACGATTTGCAATAGACAGGTTTAGCTCTTATAATGCGTCTTAAATAAATCGGACATTAAAAGCATCTGCCCAATCATTGTTCTTAATATAAATGCAAGATATTAGCATTAGAAAGAACATGTTTATAAATAAAACAAAATATGTATGATACAAAAGTACAAATATGTGAACTTCTCACATAACTTTAAAATGGTATCAGGCGTTCTAGAAAAAGAAAGCACTGTAATAAAAAATAAATTAGTGCCATTAAAGTTGTATTTAGTAAGTGGCCCTCGGAAAGATCCACTGCTCAATGGTAATAAAGAGGCAATATATTTGAAATAGAAAAGGACAACTTTCATACGTGGTAGTCATATCCCACGCTATAAATATACATGTATTTATAAAATTAAATGATAATGTTGTTTGTCGGATCGCAAAATTATGCAGTGGAAATACATTATTTTGGTGAAGGGTTTGTTTGGGTTTTTTTTTTTTGGGGGGGGGGGAATCTGCTGATTTTGAGAAAGCATAATTTTGTAATTATTTGTAGAATATAATAATAGGGATGCATGTTTAGCTATAAGTGGTAAGTTGTACTGAAGAGTTTTGTCCCTTGAGTCATATGTGGTGGCAAGAAGCTTTTGCAATGGGTCGAAGTAGAAAAACTGAAGCATTTATTAAAGCACGACGTGTCATGAGGTACAAGGAATCTGGTGTCCCTTTATATGTAACAATTTTGTTGTCAAAAGCATTTAATTTACTATTCAGGAGGGGACCTACGAACTTGTATTGTAACATTTGTTTGGTCACGATGGTGCCACCGATATGCGTTTAATTTACTATTCAGAGTTACGTTACTGTTGAATACATCAACGTTTTCATAAAAAAAGAGCAGATCAGCGTAAGTGTTGTTTTTTTCTTCTTCGAAATGGTACAAGGGCAGTTTTACATTATCCGCGCTTAGCACTATTTTCGTCACTGAATCCGTTTGAATAAACCAAAAGTGATGGCCAGTTTACGAGACCGGTTGCAATATTGGTAACGAGAAATAGTCGTATATATACATTAAGCTAACATCTACCTATGATTCTTTACTAACAAAGGCACTCAAATGGAATTTGCATTTGAATAGAAAAATATGTTGATAAAATTTTAAACCCAACGTAAGCGGTGATAAAGCATAATTTAACTGGATTATTACGTGTTGTCATAATTATTCTATTACAGTGGCGTATAAGACCTCTCGTGGTTGAAAAAGCCCGTTGCACATAAAATTATACATTACTAAATAATGATAATACTTTTTTTAAATGTTAGGTATTAAAACACCCAAAACACACCCATATACAGGATACTCGTCAATGCAATTCATAAATTCTATCACGATTTGAATTAGGAAAGTTTGAAAAGCCATTTAATAGTGAGGGTAATAGTATGACAACTCGCGACTCGGAATTTCGACAATGGTTTAGGAATATCACCCGATTAAAAAGAAGAATTCAATGATAGAGCCAGTGTCGCCAAAACAATTATTCCATTACCAGAACAATAATTCCAGCAAGTTTGGAAAACGCCACAGTAAAGAATGTAAACAACATAGCGGCAGGCGGGAGATGCACAAAGGTAATGGCAACCTTAAAATGCGTTAGCATAAAATGTAAACAATGGACACAAATTATCAAAATACAATATCGAAGATGAAAAACTAAAATGAAGTGGGTTTACTGGATGAACAAGGCTAGCGAGTTTGAGCAATATAACCAATCAGCAGCACCAATATAAGATGACGTAGACAATATGATACCGTCACTCTTTCTCACTGGGTTTCCTTTGTAACCATACCTTTATAAATTCTGAAATATATGAATATTTATAAAGGCACTATATGTAAGACTACAATCAAATATAGACCTTCAAACCATACATATTAACGAGTAGCTCGATGGAAAAAGGTGTGTGTCCAGGGGAGGGGAGGGGGTAATTGAGTAGACATGTCTCAGAACTTCTGATTTTATAACATTCTCTGGTAATCCCCCAGACTTTAAGCCACCCAGGACCATCCCCTGCTCAAATTCATAAACACGCCCCTAGTGAATAGTACTATTACTACACAAATTATTATCAATTTCATGTAATCTTAAACGGAAATTATGATTATGACCATCTAATGATTCCATTACTGTCTCCTGATTTTATGACGTTTCCCGTTTATCTCGTTTCTGTCCATGAAAAGATCGCGGGTTTGTTTTATTTAATGGACCAGATTACTACCTGAAGAACTCTTTTCGGTACTTTTTTCGTCGCATTTAAATGTAATAAACGAAAATGAAAAAAATCTCCCGGAAAAAGTCCATGAAGGACGCACGAAAACCATTTATGGGAAATACGAAATCCGATTTCTGGGAGGACAATTTGCCTACGAGCAAGATGGAGAATATATTGACCATTTGTTTATGTAAACCGGGGTTAGTGTCATGTGACTTATCAGTCCAGCAAAAGATATTTTGACAATCTTTTTTTCAAACCCATACTACATTAAATGGGCATTATGGGAGATAGATAAAGAGTTGACAGTTCTCGCTATAATAGTTAAAAAATTAATAACGCAAATAGAATATACTGAAAATTTCAGTCACATTGCTCCACTCTGAACCGAGATATTAGCTTTGGAAGTTTAGGCTAGCCTCGATCATCATTAGGCTAGTGATGGCACCGAGAGATGATTATGGTCTAGATAAGTTAATTAATGTCTAATTAATAATTTAGATAACATTTCAAGCCTAATGTATGTTTAACACTATTTTAGCGATGGACTTTGTCAACGATCTATATTGTATCACATGTAAAATGTGAATGATATAGGTAGAAACTTTTTGAATTATTCCACATAAAACATACATTATGCTAGAGCTGAATCTTCCTATTGCAGGTCTTTCTTTTTGCCTGAAATGTTATCTACATTATCAATTAGACATTAATTAACTTATCCAGATCATAATCAACTTTCGATGTCATCGCTAGCCTGAGATGTTTATTGGATTAGGTTCCGATGTGTTGTTCGACTTCCATTCCTGATTTAATCATGAAATGGATGATCAAGACTGATTTTTATCGTACCGACTTTAGTAATGATGATCGAGGTTAGGCCGAATATTCAATCGCTAAAATCCCGGTTCAGAGTGGATCAATTTGGCAGACATTTTCACATAAAATTGATTACACTCATTAAAGAAACTTTCAAAATATGCCCATTACCAACGTTGTCAAGGCACAGGTGTTCCAAGCTTATCTACGCAGGAAATTCTAATCATCGACCTTAAGTCACGATATTCACATAATGAACGTATGCATAAACTTGGAACATTCTACCTAAGAAACCGAATTTTGTATTCAAAAAGGGGTGACGGACAAAAAGAGAACGCTCATCATCGAAAAGTTTGAACATCCTACCGCGACTGGTTTTGTGCTTCAAAAGGTGTGACGGGCGGACAGCTGCTTGCTCATGCAGAAAAGGTTCAATATCGAACTCAGTAAAGGACGAACACCTACACCAAGTTTGAACATTCTACCTCAATTAAAAGCAGAGTTCTCGTGTGGCAAAACGGGTAGACAGAAAAGCGGTCGGGCGGACTCATTGTAATTCGTCCCCGCTTTCTTCCGCAGGCGAGAGGCATTGTTATGTGCACTTTGCGAGATTTCTCTAAGGCTTTCGTAGTTTTTGATATGATATGGAGATCTGCCGCACCCATGCAGTACGCCGGCTGCAAATATATGCAAGTGAAAAATATCGACAATATGTATTTCATAACTACAATTACAATAATATATATTCATGCTTACTATACATGTATAATGCTGTGTAATATTGCCAATAGAAATTAATCAGAAACATAGTAACGGGGTAACTTTGAATAAAATGCATATATCTGTATGACTTGATTATGACCCAAAATGCGTATTTTTTAAGGTATAGTTGATGACTACAGTATATACATTTTCATCCTTGTTTTGCTTGCCTTTAGCCATTTATCATTTAAGAACTTCATTAATTTGTCTTCAAAGAAATGAAAAATATTTAAAGCAGAAGTTATATGAGGGGTAAAATCAAATTTTAAAATGACCCCAGGTTCTTACCCTCATAATCTATTTTGCCCTCTTCATTAACTTTTGCCATATTAATGATGTCTTCTAGTTCTTCATCAGTGAGAGGCTCTCCAAGGTTTTTCATGGCTGATTTAAACTCTGTCAGTCCAATTAAACCTTCTGATTGCTTGTCAAAAACCCTAAAGGCGCTCCTCACTGTCTGTTCTTGATGTTCAGGGTCATCTACTTTCTTTAACTCTTCTTGCATAAAAGTATGAAACTCTCGATATTCTATTCTACCATTCCCTAAATTAATTAAAAGAGATACACCTGTCTGATTTAGGTGAAAATAAAGTAATGAAACGGTGTAACTGAATTGTTGTTTCGACAAGTTATTGGGTCGGCTCTGTACAATAAAATGTTTGTTTCAAAAGAGACTAATCGAAATGAATTGAATTGGGATTATACATCCTAATGACGCCATTTAATGTGCTGTATGGGAAAGTTTACCCGGGCTACGGCCTACTGTTATATCGCATTTCAACTGTCAAGGGTTCTGTTACGTGTACGCTAATGTGTACATACGCCTCGGGGTTTCATCCCATCCGAACAACTATATGTTGCCCTTGCCAGGGCCTCTGTCCTGTACCACTGACAAGGGGGTGGGGTAGGGGGCACGCTGGAAATCCCAATGAACTTTCTCGGCCAATACCGGGATTGGATATTGGATTTTCAGGTTGAAAAGCCAACGTTTTGTTCACTGATCCTCAGTTTCATTTCAATAACTAACCTGATTTACACGTTTCAAGGTAGATATTGGTAGTTTATTGACTGTTGTCATTAAGTACGAAACCAATCACCAATCCATATAGTGAACATATATGCGACGACAATCGTCTTTGTGAAGTGCTCAAACATGTCGACTCTTGATTTGTAGAGAAAGTGATCTAGTTTCTGTTGACATTTACACAGACAATTTAAATGACCTAGTTTGTGTTGAGGTCTCCTCTCTCTCGTTACAATATCCTAAGGAGGAGGTAGCGTGTCACTAAGCGACATGACATAAATCATTAAAAGGAATGTTGAATTTAAACGTTGGGAGTCTCCGTCAATCTCCGCTACCTTCATATATCACAAGACTTACACATAAGTTGCTACTTTTACTGAGCGAAACGGTCTCACTGGGCTATAAGACACCGTTGTTTAGGATCATTACACACCATTGCGATATGCGACAAAGTTCATTACTAAAGAAGCACGCGCAAGCGAATTGGTGGTAGTCATACATTTATATTCTGAATTTGATCTAGTTGTGTAACTCCGTTATGACGTGTAACGTAAGCGCTTGAATTGGGTTGTAATCTTTGATCTTGTTGAACAGGTAGCATCAGATGTCGTTTCATCTAACATATTCCATTGATTTCCAGGAGTGAAGTTATTCTAATTAAATTAAAAAACCGGATAACTCGTTTTTACCGGAGATGTTAGAGGTAAATGATATGAAACGCCCTGCTTTTCTGCACCAACGAGGATAATAATGAAGATGGGCAACGCCATGCAGTGTGCTATAAGAGGGCTTTCCCCGGACAGCTGGGTTCCAACAGCCAATGGTTAGTTTACCAATGGCACAACGACGAGTTCACGCCTCAAGAAAAAGACCCCAGATTCAGATAGTAAATAGAGAGAGAGAGAGAGAGATGGGGTTTAACGTCCACTCGACACAAACTAGGTCATTTCGGGACTAACATATGGTTTAATTTTATTTCCATAATTCGCTTGCGTGTAGGGGTCTTTAGCAGTGGGAGGAAACTGGAGGACCCGGAGAAACCCCACGGGGTTGGACAGGCGACCCTACTCCTTGTCACGTACAACCGGAAATTGAAACCACGCCAGTTGACTGGCACGTGCTAACCATTCGGCCATCCAACCCCTCTTCAGATAGTAAGCCTTCGTCTTTAAACAATAAAAGTTTGGAGATTGTCGATTGGTATTAGATTTAGGCCTACCTTCTTTATCTAATTCCTCCATATACATATGTATATCTTGGTCTGGCATCTCTATACCCATACATTTTAAAACTTTGCCTAATTCATTAGAGGAGATTGTATTATCGTGGTTTTTGTCGAATATACGAAATAGCTCTCGAATTTCTGAAAATAGACAACCATAAAAATACGAAACCTTAACAATACCAAATAGTTTCTGAACTAAACAAAATATAAAAAAACGAACCAGAAAAACAAAATGTGAAAAGGACAATTTCAAATATTCTGAAATAGAGAAAACATTTTAAAATACGAAACAATTCTCAAATTTCTGAAATACACAAGCACTAATATTTAAGACTTAAGATCTAGTAAACATAATTTCCCATTTTCCGTTCCATTCCTATGTAAGCTGCCACCTAGTTTGCGACAAAGGGTGATTAAACTATTGCTGTTTGTAAGTCAACGAAGCCTCCGCCAATTGTCAGCCACGTCGTCCGCGTGATTCTTCTTGTTTATCACGATTTGAATGTTTTGAAAATGACCTTAAAATTTGTTGATATGTAGATCATTGGCGAGCTGTTCACGAAGTAAGCTATAATTCCATGAATACAAACTCAAACACAGCGTTTATAATTTCTCTAGATAGGAGTGATAATAGGGAAATGTCGTAAGGGGTCGTAAGCACTACTCTGTCAAACACTACGAAGTATTACATAAACCAGAGGAGGCGTAATTATAAATGCTTACCTGCGTCCATTTCTTTATCTCTCTTTTTACCCTGCAAAATATACAAGACTGTTAAGATACCTGTCGATCATATCAAACCACAAACCATTATATCTGTTATTGTCTTACAGATAATAAAGTCTATTCTTGACAACCAGGACTATCATGTGCCCACAGATGTCAACCTCATTTTTACTGGCGAAAGGGATCACGATTTGTAGTCCATTACTGATGACGTATATGATTTATAATAATTCCAAAGTGGGTATATAGGGTTACAAAAAGCGAAATCTATTTTTAGCATTGTTTACGGTCCTGACGAAAAAAATGCCAATCTTATTAAAATCTGATTAAGATCTTTATCTCGTTGCGTTTTTAAATGACATACTTTAAATGGCATAAAACGGAATTTTAAACTATAAAAAACGAAATGAAATAGGATCTGTGTTTTAATCAGATTATGCATGCGGCAACCGGAATTTCATTTTCCTATTAACGTTTTTATGGTATCCCCCTGGAAAATAGCAAAACAAAGATTGTGCAGATTTTTTTTTTATTTTTAAGGGGAGTAGAACAGTAGGACGTTAACATATTTCATTTCATGTGTATTAAAAGTGTAAAACGGGTTAGAACATTGTAAACTAGCATTCTAATGGCATTCCTTGTGCCAAAGGGCGTGGTTTGGAAGTCCCGCTTGTAAGTGACAAGGATTGGGATGGTCTGTCCAACCTCGTAGGTTTCCCTGGGCCCTCCGGTTTCCTCCCACCGGTAAAGACCCAAACGCACAATGACTTAGTTTGTGTCGCGTGGACGTTAAATCCCATTTGTTTCAGTCTCACAATACGAGAGACGTAGTAGGTTCAATGAAGTAAAAGCTTGGTACGATCCCCGCGTTGGTTGGAAACGTTCTTCAGGGTTTTACAGTGTTTTTTGCACTGGGTAGATGAAGACAGTGAGCCTGGCAAGAAACAACGTATAGTTGATCGCATGGGAAAGAGAGAGAGAAATGGGGTTTAACGTCCACTCGACACAACTAGGTCATTTCGGGACTATGATCGCATGGGAAGGTAAATCAAAGTACATGTTGGCGGCGATGTGAAGTTAGCTTGTGGTTCGTTGTTCGAGCAGTTTCATATTGGCAAATAACGAACAACGAACCAATTTGTTGTTCGGTATTTGCGAATAACGAAAAACGAGCTGGTTTGTTGTTTGTTATTCACCAGATATGGAATTATTTATAGAATAAAGGCACTTTTGTAGGGAATACGCCGGGCGTGGGTTTATAATTATCCTAACTGGTTCATAAAACTTCAAAGTCTTGGGAAATAGATTCTAACAACCTGTCTTTCCACTCGAACAACGAGCAGTTTCACATTGTCGAATAACGAACAACGAGCCAGTTTGTGGTTCGGTATTCGCGAACAACGAGCTGGTTTGTTGTTCGTATTCGCGAATAACGAACAATGAGATGGTTTGTTGTTCGGTATTCACCATAGATATGGAATTAGTAATATAATAAAGGAATTTTTGTAGGGAATACGCCGGGAGTGGGGTTTTATGGGCATAATTTGATTATAAACCAGGTTGTTAGAATCTATTTCAAAGTTGTTGAAATCTATTTTCCAAGACTTTGAAGATTTATGAACCAATTAGGCTAATAAAAACCCACCCCCGACGTATTCCCTATAAAAGTGCCTTTATTATATTACTAATTCCATATCTGGTGAATAACGAACAACGAACAACAAGCTATCTTCACGTCGCTCACCTTCGGCGTTGGCATGCACGTTGGAATTCAACGAAGTCAACTCCATTTCATTTCACATATATAAAAACTTTTATGCCTTTAAGACAAGATTCGTTTGATTTTATTTCATGTAAACCCGTACTTGGTTCACATCCACTACTTGAAACAAGCGGACGTTAGTGTAGAAACATACTCTGTGTGTTTTATAACCTATTAAATGCAGTGGCATCTGTTCAGTTGAAATCCTAATAAAATGTTTCTGATTCTTGCTCAGATCTCCTTTGATTTATTTTGTAAAACTCACAGCAGCGTTTTATCTTCTGGCAGGACCTCTTATCAGTAGCGATTTTTGTTTGATCAGCATTATACTATTTTTAACCTCTGTATACGGATGCGAATTAAAATACTTCATTACAATGCCGAACAATGCATGCGTCTTGCCTATAGTATGTTTGAACACGGGTGTTCTCTGAAAGTCGGTTGATTGATTGTACTGACTCATATGTACTATCAGACTTAAGTGTTTTTGTTCTAACAATGAATGAAAGAGATGTGCGATTGGTTAAAAGCTGTATTGGAGTATTTCCTTGCCAGTCAGGCATATATAGCACATCTTGCGCTGCTGTTATCAGGATGTCTTTGAAGTCCAAATCATGGTCGTACATGATATTGAACATGCGTACCGGGTCCTTAAAAGCGGGTTCAGAAGCTAATAGTTTGTGCCGTGAGCACACATGACCGGATTAAGAGCGTGGGTGGGTGAGCTGACTGGGCTGCAGCCAGGGGCCCCAATATTAAACAAATGAAATGAAATGAAATGAGGTTTAACGTCCTACTGTTCTGCTCCTATACTGGGCTAATGAAGACGGGCATACGCCATACAGTGTGCTATGAGGGAAATTTTGCCCGGGCAGCGGCACTATCGCCTACTCTTATATCGAATTCCAACTGTCAGTAGATCATTTACGTGCATTCCAATATATACACGGGACCTCGGTTTTTCGTCCCATCCGAACGACTAGACAGCTGTCCTTGTCAGGCCCTACGTCCTGCATCACTGACAAGGGGGAATTCAGGCTAGGGAGCCAGCGCCTTACCCACTTAGGCACGTGATCCCCCAAATAATATTAAAGAATATGACATTATTTTGTATATGTTTGTGCCAAATAAATCTATCTATCTACCATACAAACATACAATTTGCATTTGTGATGCAATGGTCCCAGTGACATTTTAAGCCAGAGCAGCATGTAGGCATGTACCGTTTGTCCTTTACAGCATTTTTCATACGATTTCAAGATTTTTCGATTACTTCTTTGGGAACAGGAATTAAGGCTTTTTTCACACAAGACCGTACCTAAGCACCCGATTAAACCGGTTGCCGAGGTCAAATAACAAAAGAATTACAAGCCTACAACTTTAGACAATTATATTTTAATAGTTCAATTATTCTTAAGACAATTACTAAAAAGTCTTACTATAATAACATTTAAAATGAAATAAAGAAACCAATAAAAGTTACCATCCCTTGTGAAGGTTATCTCGGTATGTTTGTAGATTATTCAATAGTTTATCATGGGGTACATCTGTTTTGCGCGCTTATACATCGTCTATATTTACAAAGCATTTATAGGCCAATATACTCAATTTTAAAGATTTGAGTTTTAATCTAATAACTACTCTGGTTAATTTTAAAGGAGCTGGTTCACTATTTATGTGTCATGATGGAGCCACGGTGGATAGTGAGAAAAGCGTTGGCTCATTGACTGGGAGGTTCGGGGTTCGACCCCGGGGTTTGCCGAGAAAGTTCTCGAGATTTTCCAGCGTGGTTCTCTGTTGTGGAAGGAGTATGGTGAAGGGTCATGGCAAACAACAACGAGTGGACATCAGAACGCGCGGACATCCGTGACTGAGTTTATTATGCAATTATATTTCCTAGTAATTAGAAATATCGTACTTTCAGCTAGAAACAAAATCTGTGGGCCGAACAGTTAACCTAATTAATTATTGTGCTCGAGGGAGCATATCTTTAGCTTTATAGATTGTTATCAATTTCCATTTCCTTATATTGTTTGATATATTGAGTATTACGAGTTATTAAGACAAGGTTTAGCTATAAATCTTTGATTCACTTTGTAATAGGACTGCCTTGGTTATAAAAATGAAATGAAATGGGTTTTAACGTCCTACTTTTCTCTGGGTTGGATTTTGTTTTAGATCGGTTAGAAGTTGATTGCCCATCACGTTATTTTAAAGGTGGCAAGTCTTTAACCCAATATCACCTACAGTCTGCGACATTGCAAACACGACTTATTGGTCAATTTAAATCAACACTGGCGTTGTTATCTTACCATGAAAAGATTGCCTTCTGATATCCAATATTTATGACAAAATGAACATTTTAAAATTGGCAGAATGCTTTCGAGCGCCATGTTTAATGAAGCGACTCGATGGATACTACCGGACGTGAAAAATTCCGGCATACCTTAGAGGAGTTTTGGGATGTTAACTTCATCGGTATTTTTTTTTTCCAGTAGATAAAAAAATGGCCTAATTTCAATAATTGACCCGCTAGAACTCGGGGAAAGCCAATAGCTCTAGATATTCACTTGATGTCATCAGGATTTTTTTCAACAGTGGAACATTTGCTTAACTACTTACTATACTAAAAATTGCCCTGCTTTACTTGACCCAATGTCACCTACAGTCTGCGACATTGCAAACACGACTTGTTGGTCAATTTAAATCAACACTGGCGTTGTTATCTTACCATGAAAAGATTGCCTTCTGATATCCAATATTTATGACAAAATGAACATTTTAAAATTGGCAGAATGCTTTCGAGCGCCATGTTTAATGAAGCGACTCGATGAATACTACCGGACGTGAAAAATTCCGGCATACCTTAGAGGAGTTTTGGGATGTTAACTTCATCGGTATTTTTTTTTTCCAGTAGATAAAAAAATGGCCTAATTTCAATAATTGACCCGCTAGAACTCGGGGAAAGCCAATAGCTTTAGATATTCACTTGATGTCATCAGGATTTTTTTCAACAGTGGAACATTTGCTTAACTACTTACTATACTAAAAATTGCCCTGCTTTACTTGAAAGGGTGGTGAAGGAATTTCAACCGGCCTATTACAGTGTGCTTCGGCCTTATTTCGATTTTTAACTCTTAGGATGTTTTTAACGTGCTAATGGCATATCGGGAACCGAGGGTTTTTTTTTTTACCCCATCGGAACAACAAAAAGCGTGACCTTACGAACCATTATGGTTGGAAAACACATCTGGCTAATCACGTGG